CCCTGGGGGGGGGTCGGGCTGGCCCTTCGTCCTGCTGGAACCCCGAGTCCTGCGGGGAGCGGTCGGGGCGAGGTGAAGTGAGGTGGGTGCTTCAAACTGCCCGAGCTCCTGGGGGCTTTGCTGGAGTGCTGCGTTGTGGCACCATTTGGGAAGCAAATGGGATGTTCTTGACTTAAAAGGTCATTTGTCCTGTCCTCATATCACCGTTGTGGGTGATAGGTTGTAGGGTTCTCCTACACCCTAATTGTGCAGCAGTAATCCCAAAGGGCACCGTGTCTTGGGGGATGGGGTTTCAAGGCATGGGGACCCCTCTGCTCTTCCCTGGCTCTGGTTTCTTCCCAGCTAGGTCTCTATGTCCAAGGTATGTCCCCAGGTGGGTCTCTGCATCCAATCTGTGTTCCCAGGTGGGTCTTTACAACAAATCTGTGTCCCCAGGTGGGTCTCTGTCCAATGTGTGTGCCCAGCTGGGTCTCTACATCCACCGTGTGGTCTCCCTTGGTGTGTTGCAGATTGTCGATCTGTTGCTCACGCACGGCGCCGACGTGAACATGGCAGACAAGCAGGGGAGGACACCGCTGATGATGGCTGCCTCAGAGGGACATCTGGGCACGGTGGAGTTTCTGCTTGCACAAGGTTAGAGCCCCAGCCACAGCGAGTCCCACCACGCTGTCCCCTGCACAGCTGGAATTTGGGATGTCGGGGTGGGGATTGTGATCCCACTGCTGGATCAGGCAGCAGGGAGGATCTCAGCACCATATCCAGCTTATGGGAGAACAAGATGAGGACAGTCATAGCCTTGATCTTGGCTGTCTGTTTTCGGGCAGGAGGAGGGTGCTCACATCCTCAAAACCACCCATTTGAGTTAGAAAATAAAATAACATATCACAGGTGCTTCGAGCACTGGGTTAAGAATTTGCCCTTGAACCATGCTTGGAAGTTTCCCCTTAGATGAAAACATCAGTAAATGATGATAAGGACTGTCAGCATCACCATGGAGCAGACAGGCAAGACTCCATCCACCCCAGGACCAGAGTTTGGGACACATTTTCACCCTTCCATTTTTGCTGCTGGTATTCTTGCCCACATTTTTGATACCAACATCAGCAGGAGTAAGACCCTGACACGGGCAAGGATTGGGTGGTTTTGTTGGAAGGAAAGCACAATTGTTTTGAAGGTAGTCTGCTCCTCAGCTTGGCACTCACAGATTCCCTTTGCTCAGCATTTCCAGTGTCTGATAACTCTTTCATTAGAAGTTACTCAGTCAACATGTTTGAGTTTTACTCATTTCTCCTACACAGAAATATTTGAGGTGAGTCAGAACAATACAGTGCCTGCGACCTGTGTGAACACGATTGTCTCTTATTTCTGTAGCTCCTTAGTGACTTTTTTGGTTTTTAACAAAAAGCCAGTGTTTGGTTGGGTTGTTTAGGTAATTTTCCATTAATTTGTGGCTAGAAATAGCATTTAATTTTTGTATTATTATTTGATGTTTTTATTTCAGGTAAGATCCCTTTTTGGAAGGGATATTTTTGTCATATCTTAAGTGACTGTGACTGACCTCTTAGCCAAAATGTGAGACACTTGAATACTTTATGTAGTAGCTGTAAGAACATTTTTTCACTGTAAAATTGTCAGTGTTGTGACCTGCATAGCGATGTGGCAGAGGTCAGTTTGAGGCATGAGTTTTTCATGAATTAATTGAATTCATTCTTTTCTCATGTTCTTTTTTTTAAAAAAATTCAAATTAACACTCTCCACGTTGAAGTTGCAATTTGGCCCCTTTTGCAGCTTGACTGAATCTGTGTAAAAGGCTTCAAGTAAGTGATTTTTCTTTGCCAGACTTAAGGACTCTGCATGTTGTTTAAGACTGACTCACTCAGTGGAGGATGAAAACACCAGATAATCTGATCTGGGCCATGGGATCACCAACAAATGCACGTAATGTTTCCCTGGCTCTTGGGACACTGAGAGCCCAAGAAGTCAAAAATATTAAAATCTTTTTTACTTTAAAAGGTCCTGAAGACCTTAATAAAGTCCACTAGATATGCTGTAACACACGGTCCTGAAAAGTCAGCTCAAGCCTGGGCAAAGTACAGTAATATATGGTGCATTTTAATTAAAATGGCTTTGACAATCCTGTTCAATGTTTCATTAAAATCAAAGTGTGTGAATCATAAGCCATAAGCATTAATTAGTGTGTTGCAAAGCAAGCCTCATTTGACTGTACTTGATTAACACAGTCAGCATTTGTAAACACTTTTTATTAGCAGAGGTGCAGTCACCAATCAATTTGGAATCTAAGTTTTTAGAGTTACCTGTTGCCCTCACTTAACACCCAGACATAACAGATGTGTAAGTTAAACATCCTGGGAGCAGCTCTGCTAAAGTTGGTGTTTATACAGATCTGTCTTACCCGGAGCAAAACAATTCCTGATGCTTCTTCTCTTTGGAGAGAGCTTTATTCACATCTCATTTTCCTGCAAAAATCAACCCCTGGGTGTTTTGGCTACCTTGGGGTACATGGTACGTGTGGGTGCTGCTCCTCAGTGTCACTGCCCCATGGTGCTGAGCCTCGTCCCCGTGGGGGTGACCCTGCCTGGGCACTGTGGCTGTGGATGCATCCTCTCTTACAGGAAGGATCCAACCATCGTGGCCACGCCCTGCTTCTTTTTGATGATCCAAGGGTCAATCATTTCTTTTTTGCCTCTAGCTGGCTCACTGTTCTGTGCCTCCTGGATGACAAATCATAAACTCCTGCATTTAGCCAGTGGTTTACCCAGACAAAATCTTTCCCACATGAAGTCATCTTAAGCCACTTGCCCTCAAAGCCATCAGTTTGTTTCATGTCTGAGTGCCTTCATACCAAGTAGGTCAGAGATCCCCAAAGGAGCAAAAGATGCCTTCAGAGTCAAGCAGAGGTTCTGCTGGGAGCCATGGCAGCATCAGGAGCTCGCTGCTTCTGCAGAGGTCGTGCCCAGCCTGCCTTGGAGCAGAGTTCTGGCATCTCTGGAGCTCTGCCTGTTGTCTGCTTGCCTAGGCCTCCAGCCTGCCTCATTGTACTCATACCCTGGAGTCTGTGCCCATCGCCCTCATGGTGCATCTCCTTCACTGGCCTGGAAGAGAATGGGATGGTTGAGTGATGTTGTGGTGTTCCAGCCTTCCCTCTTAATGCAGGAGCTTTCTCACCTGCTCCAGAAAAGGCAGAGGGGAACCACAAGAGAAGACTTTGACAGTTTGATTGTAAGAAAGTAGCTGTTATGAATAAGGAGGAATGACATGAGGATTTATCTTGCTTTGCTGAGCAAAAGTTGTCTTTGAGTCAGTTGAGGATCATCTGGAAGGCTTTCATAGAATCACTGTGGTCAGAAGAGACCTTTAAGATGATTGAGTCAACTGTTAGCCCAGCACTGCCAGGTCCTCACTGACCCTCATCACCACATCTCCATGGCTTGGAAACTCCTCCAGGGATGAGGACTCCACCACTGCCCTGGGCAGCCTCTTCTAGGCCTTGACAGCCCCTTCAGAGAGGAGATTTTTCCCCATGTCTAGCCTAAAACTCCCCTGGTGCAACTTGAGGCCATTTACTCTCATCATATCCCATGTTCCTTGAGAGAAGATGCCAACCCCCACCTGGCTCAAACCTCCTTTTGGGAGGTTGTAGGGAGCTTCAGGAGGGTTCCTGGGTGCAGTGCGAGCAGTGTGAGAGAACCTATGATGTTGGGAGTTGATGTTGTCCATCCCCTAGCTTGTACATTTGAGCTGCCTTGCGGGCAGTGTCCCTTGTTGGCACACCAGGTTGCCTCAGACATTGTTTGCCACCCCCTCGCTGGCACTCCACGGAGACCTGCAACAAGCAGGACACTGCTGAGAGCTCCAGGCAGAGGTTTCTGAACACATCCTGAGCAAACGTTCATGTGTTGTGCTCCTCCACAAACTGAAAGTTGGGCAGGCTGGAAGACGGATGGGTTTGCTGTCGTCCAGGCGGTGTGTTCCCACCAGGGGAGGTGTCAGCTGCAACGAACAGGAAGCTTCAGAAACTTCCCATCACTCCTCCACTTGCTGAGCCTTCTAGAGCCTGCAACTTAGAGTTTACCTACAGGAGAAAAACCCTGCAGCAGCAGCAGTTCATGCCAGCCTGCTGGCAGAAGCATCCCGCAGGTAGCCGCGGTTCCTCGGCGGAGCAGAGCTGGTAGCAATCTCTTCTGCCCTGCCTGCCTGTGCCATGGCAACAGGAGTTGTCTTCGTGCCACGAGGAGGAGCCTCCACTTGGTGCTGCTGTTGGGAGCTCAGATGCGTGTCCATATGCCGGGAGGAGCAGTACTGACCCCTCGGTGTGGCAGCGCCGCTTCTTCAGCCAAGAAAACGTCAGGTCCCCTCTCCTTGGCTTGCAGTTGGCAGTAGTTTATCCCCCAACGTTGTATTTATATTGGGTAAAGTTCAGGGAGAAATACTCCTGGAAATTGTGTTGATGTGGGTAAAGGGGAGGGGAGTGAAGAGAGGAAAATATTTGCTTTTTTAGAAGAACTGAGCTGAATTGACTTAGTTCCCCTTGGTGTATGCCATGACCTGCTGAAATAGCAAAGTAGTCTCCATCTCTGACTCACATAGGCTGGAATGGGTTTTGATTAAATTAGAAAAAAGCAGTTAAAAAGAAAGATTGATGTCTCAGATGAGAGATGTCAAATCCACCCTGCTGCTCAGAAGATGTTTGCCAGAAAAGCCTACGGAGCTAGGTGTGAAAAAGTTTGCAGCTTGGTGTGAATAAAATCATAAACTCGTTTGCCACAGTTCCCGTTTGAAGTTGCCGTGGAGGGTGGGATCCACAGTGGGAAAAATGTTAATAAAGTAATTAATAATTATGTACATAGCTCTCGAAAAATAAGCTGTCATCACTAAGTAGACGGTTCATCGTATCGTAGCGCTCAACAGAGAGCTCTAAAGTGAACATATGCCTGTTCTGCAGGTGCCTCCATTTCTCTGATGGACAAGGAGGGCTTGACAGCCCTCAGCTGGGCTTGTCTGAAGGGACATCTCTCCGTGGTGCGTTCCCTGGTGGAGAACGGGGCAGCCACCGACCACGCGGACAAGAACGGGCGCACGCCGCTGGACCTGGCCGCCTTCTACGGCGACGCGGAGGTGGTGAGTGGCCAGGGCTGCCCCCGGGAGGAGATGGGCAGCTGGAAACAGGGAACTTGGGCTTGAGGTGGCAACAAGCATACAGAGTCATGGAATGGTTTGGGTGGGAAGGGACCTTTCAAGATCATCTAGTCCATTGTGCCTGCAGCAACCAGGGGCTTCTTCCGCTAGAGCAGGGTGCTCAGAGCTCTGTCCAACCTCCCCTGGGATGGTTCCAGGGATGGGGCATCCACCACCTCTCTGGGCAACCTGGGCCAGGGGCTCACCACACTCAGTGTAAAAATTTCTTCCTTCTCTCTAGTCTAAATCTCTCTCTTTTAGTTTAAACCCATCACTCCTTAGTCCTGTCACAACAGGCCCTGCTAAAATTTTTATCACCAGCTTTCTGACAGGCCCCTTTAAGTCCTGAAAGGCCACCAGAAGGACTCCCCAGAGCCTTCTTTTCTCCAGGCTGAACAAGCCCAACTCTCCCAGCCTGGCCTCCCAGCAGAGGGGTTCCACCCTCAGATCATTTCTGTGGCCCTGGCCCTCCATCCCTGCATGTGCTTCCACAGAGGACAGCGCATGAGGTTGATGGACCCTCAGCCCCCGTGGCGATGGGTTTAACCCAAGCAGTGGAGCAGAACAAGCTCCTGCTGCTCGTACATCCCCAGCAGCGGGCGAAGGTCTCGCCCAGGAGCAGAACCGAGCGTTGGGCTTCTCGTTGCAGGTTCAGTTCCTGGTGGACCACGGGGCCATGATCGAGCACGTGGACTACAGCGGGATGCGGCCCCTGGACAGGGCGGTGGGCTGCCGCAACACCTCGGTCGTCGTCACCCTCCTGAAGAAAGGAGCCAAGATAGGTAGGGACAAGGGGACAGTGCAGCTCGGGGCTCGGGCAGGACCCGGGCAGTGGGCACCTCGACCCAGAGGCAGGTCCAGCCCCGGGTGCTGCTCCACGCTCCCAAAGCAGCCGGCCAGTCGCGGGCTCCGGCTTAAAACGGGGAAACTTTTTGGTTTACTGTCGGATTACTGAGCGAAGTTAATCGATAAACAACTGTTTCTTTGGCAAGGTCTTTCCTCTGGTAATGCTTTTTCTATCTTTACTAGTCTGAGTCGGCAAACGTACTCTGTCCATGCCTTGCTGTGAGCTGCTGCCTCCACTTGCTCTGTGTATGCTTCCAGACCTTAGTGTTACCTGCACCGCGCCACACAGCTCCTCGCGTTGCGTTTTCCTGTGAAAGGGGATTTTGCTGGTGCATTGGCTTCTTTGCTGCCTGCCTCTCACAGCTGCTTTTTTTCCTTTCTTTTTTTTTTTTTTTTCACCTTCATCCATTTTTTTTTCCCCCTCTCTCCTACAACTTTTTGTTTTCTCCTTTCTTTGAAGGTTGTCAGACGTTACCGAGTCGCCCACGAGGTATATCTCATTGCTGTCAGCATCAGCTTCGATCTGATAGCTTTGTCAGCCTTGCTTTCTCCTGTTTGATTTAGCCTGCATGCGTCCCCAGCACCTCTAATCTTTTTAATTTACCTCACCTTCAAATAATTTTTTTAATGACTGTTGCAGAGAATAACTTGAACTCAAAAACTAACCTCGTTCCCCCAAAACGTACTGAATCTACTTATAGATTATTGTTGACTTATTCTTCACCCACACTAATGAGTCGTCCCCAAATTTTTGCCACCCCTTCCCTCCCAGTGGTAGCCCTTGAGGTCACAACTGGCTCTGCCCTGGCAGGTCCCTCTGCAGAGCCAGTGTGTCCCCAGCCCAGCAGACGCACGAGCAGCACTCAGACACAACCTTCCCTTTGTCACATTTTCTACTTTAATGGACTTTCTACTCTAGTATTCCATGTCTTGGGAAGCTGGAAATCCCAGTCCACTTAAGCACAAAGCACCTGTCGACAGTCCAAGTACAGATTTCCCAGTACACTCCCAGAGATTTCAATTGGGAAATGCTTTTATGTAACCACTCTGATTTTTCCTTTTAAGTATTTTATTTCCCCCACCCTGGCTGGTTCCACAACCAGCACTGCCCTCTTGTGGAAGTGGCTCCTGGCATTTCCCAGCCCATCCTGGTGCTGGTAATTAGGAGTAGCCTTAATGACTTCCAAGGAAAAACCATTGCACTGTGGATGACGTTAATTTAAGTGCGAGAGGAATTGTCAGCTCAGTCATTTGGAGCACTCTGCCCTTTGACCATGCCAAGTTGTTCTCTCCAGCAGAAATTCCCACCCCAGGATATTTTTTCCACCCAGCTTCCTACCACCCTTGCATTGTATGAGTTTTTTACCCATCATGCATCCTGTACACTACAGGTCCAGCAACATGGGCGATGGCAACCTCCAAACCAGACATCATGATCATCCTGTTGAGCAAGCTGATGGAGGAGGGAGACATGTTTTATAAGGTGAGAAGGGTGTTTTTGGAAAGATTAAACAGATGCAGCTTGCAGGGGAACTTTGGATGAGGTTTTGGCTGAGCAGTGCTGCTGCCTTAACCCGTGGCAAGTCAAAGCAACTGCTCACAGCTTCCCTTGTGTTGCAGATAGTTTGGGTTTGTTTAGTGGGGTTGCAGAGGGGGGGATTAATTGATCAAATCTGTAATGAAGCTGAAGCAAAGCCAGGGCTCTCTGCCTCCTGGAGTTGAGCCAGTACTTCATTTCCTCTTTGAGAACATCAGTACTCGAGTCTTTAACAGAGATTTGGAGTGTTGATGTCACTGCATCAGATCTGGCAAGGTTGTCATTACCTAGCAGGATGACTGCTGTGGAACAAGGCAACAGGATAGTATATCCCAGGAAAACTCATGGAAGAAACTTTTTGCAATGAAAACAGATTGTGAGGACACAGATGGCTCTGTCGTGTCCTTTAGCCCATGGGATACATTCCACAATTGCAGTTAGAGAGTCTTTTTACTCTTGTGTTTATTTTAAGCCCATCTTTAAAACCTGGAGACATGCACACACACACTAAATGTGCAAGTACAACAATGATTCACTGTTAGGCTCCTAAGGGTGAAGCAGAAAATATGCAAAGCTGGCATTGTAACTGGAGTTATCTGCCAGAGATACATGATACAGCTGAGAAACCTGAGTCTACAAGGTTTTAAAGCTTACTATTCGTAGCTGCAAAATGTGTGTCTGGGTCGTCGTGAGTTGCACGTGTCCTAGATCCCATTTTGCCCTCTTTCTTTCACCCTAGGTGCCATGGCTAACCCCTCTCCAGGGCATAGATCATCCCATCCCAAAATTGGGTGCCCAAAATAGCAAAGATGAGTCACCCTTTGAAGGTGACTGTGGTGTCCCAATAACTATAAAAGGAACCCAGTTGACTGGCTTAGATGTAGATACCTGATTTTTCGACATCTGAAGTCCAGGGAGATGGATCTCAACCCATTTGTCCAACTTCAAAGTCACATTGTTGTCATAACCTTTATCTTTGCTGTTGCAGAGGCTTTTCTGAGCCCCAGGAACTCCACCCAAAGTCCAGATTTTGTATTCTTTACCCTCCCTGGTGGTTATTAAGCTTTGGGTGTAGTGTGTTCTCCAGAAACGGGTTACTGATTACCCAGCTCAAATGACCATCCATCCAGAAACCAGATGGAGTTGTCTCAAGTTAACATAACACGATTCCTATGACAGCTCTGTGTGAAGTGGGAGAACCCAACCTGCACAAGGCATCTGCATCTCCAGATCAGATGTTCCCTTGGTCAGACGTTCTGGCTTTCCTTCCTAGAAAAGAGCTAAATCGTGAAGTCATGTTACCTTAACCACCTAAATCATTCCTGGGGCTGGTGAGTGAGTTCTCTGCAGTGAAGTAAACTCAACCCAAGGATGGATTTTGACACGTTCTCCTTCTATTAGAAAGGTAAAGTGAAGGAGGCTGCCCAGCGCTACCAGTACGCTCTGAAGAAATTCCCCAGGGAAGGGTTTGGAGAAGACCTGAAAACCTTCCGTGAGCTGAAGGTCTCACTCCTCCTCAACCTCTCCCGATGTCGAAGGAAAATGAACGTAAGTGTCCCCACTCTTGGTGGCCTTAGTGCCAGCTGCCAGCTTTCTGCCTGTGCACAGAGCCACCTCCATCCCGTAGTCGTGCGCTGACCTCTGAGATCTCTCCTCTGTGTAACCTGGTTGTCCTTCACAGAGCACTGACTGGTTTTAGGATTCAAAAGAAGGAATGATTTAATATGCATTTCTGATGATTAAAAATTCATTGCTATGTTTATAGCTTTTTGAATTTTTTATTACTCCCTTTTGATGAGGATGTGAATTGGGGGTGGAGGCATTTTCCAGATTTCTAGGGCAGCGGAGAGGGAGGAGCCAGGAGATGTGCTCCTTTGAATACTAATTAATTTTAAATGAAGGAGCATATGCTTGGGGGGGCTAGCACTTCCCCAGGGCAGTGACTCATCCAGAAACACCCCCACATACTCCCTCTCCTCCCAGAACTGCCAGATCACTGTCACCCTCCCTGCTCCAATCCAGCAGCACCTAGCGACCAGCTCCTGCAGCGCCTGGTCCTCCAGCAAAGTCCCACCTTCCCCTTGCTCTGCCTGCAGAGGCTTTCACCTCTGCAACTTAAAGAGTCTCCCCATGGGCTTGAAAAGTGAAATCACCACCAAGGCCATGAGCCAGTGGAGATTACACTGGAGGGGAAGGGGTTTTGTGACACTTGAATCTCTTTAAGCTGTGAGGGGGAAAGAGGAAAAGCAAGGGAAGTGAAATCTGAGTGTTGGTGGAGAAACAACACAGCCTGTAGAAAAAGTGTGAACCTTCCCTTTGAACAACCTGCAGCTAAGCCTGCGCTCGAAGGACAAGATTTTTGGCTTGTTGTTAAGGAGGATCCCAAGTTTTGAAATAGAAAATTTCAGAGGATTATAATGGCTCATGCAGTTTTTGCACCTGCAAAGGTACCTGCCTCTTGACTTCCCAGTTTAGCCTTGTAGGCAACAGCTCTTCAGTAACTGCTGCTGAAGGTGCAGACAGAGGTATGAGCTTCCCCAGGCAGGCGTCCAGTAGCAAGAGTTTCCTTACTGAGGTTTTGAAGAAATCAGGAGCACTCTCCAGTCCTTTCTCCCAGAAGTGCCCAGGGTCATTGCCCAAGTCAACCAAATCAATCCAAAGCAAGGTTTGGTTGTGAAATGAAAGCCCCTCCACTGGGCAGAGGTCTCCTCAAGTGCTGAGCTTCAGCTGAGCTAAGTGGTACATGAAGCATTGGGGAGCAGGCAGGGGAGGATGGCTGGAGGCTTGGAACCACAGCTGATGCTCTGATCTCGTGGCACTGCCACTCAGGAGTGCCTGGAGCAGTCTCCATCCTGTGCTGTCACCCTCTCCCTCCCCACTCCCAAACCCCTCCCAGGTGAGGTGTCGGGGAGAGGCAAGGCACAGTGGAACGAGACCTTTGCCAGGCAAGTCCTGTTTGTAGCTGCTGAGGTGTCACAGTCCCTTCCACTCTGGGCAGTTCTGTTCAGCCCCTCCAAAGTCTGCCAGTGTGTTGCAGTGGGAAGCAGAGGGCGTGGGAAGGGTTTCCTATCGCTTTCAACTATGGAAAAAAATCCTTCATGAGATAACATTCCAGCCTCTGCAAGACCAGATGTTTCCTCAAGACTGGAGGTTGTTGGAGAGGGCTTGCATGCACTTGTTGGGGACATAATCAGTGAGAACAGAGCCAGGGGCACGCTGGCCTCTGTGGGTGCTGACAGCTTCGAGAGGGCTTGGAGTCTTTGGACGTGCCGTCGTAGCTCTCTGGCTGTGAATGCTGCTGAGTCCATGTGAAACTTTCTGGTACCACCAAATTTTCCTTGGTACATGGAAAAAAAAAATAGTTCTTATTAAGTGTGTTTCCTTCCCGAACTGTATATGTTTTTTTTGTTTCTCTATCTATTCAATTACTTACCTGCACACCTATTGTAATGACAGGATTTTGGAATGGCGGAGGAGTTTGCTACTAAGGCACTGGAGCTGAAACCGAAATCTTATGAAGCTTACTATGCAAGAGCAAGGGCCAAACGCAGCAGCAGGTGAGGAGAGAGAGAGAGAAGAGTGCCAGGGGCTGGTCTCCTCAAGCCTGGCCACACTGAGGTGATCATCCACTGTGCAAAAGTGTCCCCATGGGAAGAAAGGGCAAAGGAACATTCATTAATGAGATTACAAACCTGTCAGACTCCAAAGTGACACCCTCCCTCATTTGGTAATTTCTGGAGGCAGCTGAATGCAAATGTTTTGAGAGGTTCATCTTAGTTGAGCTTTAGACATCTTAGTACACTGGAAACCTTTGCACCAAAGTTGGGTATTTTAAAAATACACTTGAGTTCAGCCACAATTTGGACTTAGTGTAAATATGACTCATGGAAGCCCTGGGGCCTGTGTTAGGCAGGAGGGCAGACTCATTCATCACTGTGGTCTCCTCTGGCCTTAAAATCTGTGTTTCTCTGTCCTACAGCACTTTTTGCAAGGCAGAAGCTGCTGCAGTGACTGTGCAGGCAGACACCAGCCGCTGAGCTTTCAGCCACAGCTTTGTGCTCGGGGCACTGCAGCCAGCTTCCAGCAAGCTGCAGCACTGGGGTCTCTCTGCATCTCAGGTGGAGCACAGAGGGGTCCCTTGTTAAGCTCCCTGAAGGCTAAAAAGTATGACTAGATTGATCTCAGGACCAATCAGTGCCATACCTAAAGGAGCAGGAGGGCTTGCTTTGGAGTCCTGTGCTCAAGAGCTGGCCACGCTGGCACTGCACACATCTCAGCTCTCAACAGCAGCCCAAGTGCCTCCTGTGTCCATGCAGAGAGTCACCAGCAGCCAGAGGTGTGTGAGTCCACCCGTGCAGACATCATAGTCCAGCAGACACCCCCACTGATGGACCTTCTGTGCTGGAGGTGATGTGTGGGTCCAGGCTCCTGGCCCACGTGGTGCTGTGCAGCCTGGTCCACCAGCTCTGGCTGTGGGAGGTGAAGCCAGGACCTCCTGTTCTGCAGAGAAGTCCTGCTAGCTGAGCCACACTGACCTCATGCCTCCCCTTTAATGGTTTTCCTCTCTATTGTTTCCAAAACACTGGTAAGGAAGCATAAGAACCGGGTTCCTTTCCAGATGATATCAGCCTCCCCACACACAAGAGTCCTTTTCTCCCAAGGTCTCTCCAGCAGAAACGGTCTCCACTTTGGCTTTTTCTGTTTCCCAGTGTGTGCCCAGCAGCACAGGCTGGGGAACAGGAAGTTTTTCCTTCCTCCACTTGGTTTTCAATGGCTTGTGCAAAAGCTTAGGCTGGTGTTGGGGAGTTTTTTGCTGTGACCATCCCCCCACATGACAGTCGTGTTCAAGCAGATGGTTTTGCTCACGAGCAAACAGTGTCCCTGTAAATGACAACACCCTTCCCCAAACCCACACCTCCCTTTTACTCCTCACAGACTGCTCTCTCCCTTGCAGAGGCTCCCCTGGGGGGCTCACAGGCTCCCTAACCTTGCTCGATCCCTTCCTTCTGAAGAAGTTAGCCAGATCCATCACCAAACTGGAGAGACAAGCCTCGCCCGGAGCGCTGACCCGTGGGAGCCCCGGCACACCGGGGCAGCCCTGACACTGGGTGGGCTTGGCATCAGGCAGGAGTTAGCTTCCCCCTGGCATCAGCCGTTACAGCCCCAGCTGATCTGCTCTTGTCTGCAGCAGTGCTGAGCCTGGCTCTTGGCTGGCAGTGCTGTGGCTTCCCCTTCACTGGCACGGGGCAGGGCTCATGGTGGGCTCTGAGGGTCTTTCACTTGCCTGTAGCACACTGCACAGGGCAGGCGTTATTGCTAGTGTGGGTTGTGCCATCTCAGGACCGTTCCCCTCTTCTCCAGAAAGGCTGGCAGTGTTTTCCTTCAGCTTGAATAGAATAAACCTGAGGGAGGCAGCTGAGACCGAGTGTGAGACCCGGCGAGCGGTGGCGG